TTTTTTTTTTTAAAATAACATGTATAGATATGTAGATTAAAAAAATAATACATTAATAAAGCTAAGGCTAAATATAATTAAGTAGATAGGATAATATAAAATATTATATATAATAAATAAAAATATAAAATTTATAGTAAGATATTAACGAAATTATATATTATTAAAGTTGAATATTTTATATAATGATTCTTAAGAAAAGCAATTAAAGACCTTTAAAATATTGTAGTTTTAAATGACTTTCTAATTTAAAAAAAAATAAGATTATAAAAGTAATAAATATATATTTCTATGCACTTAAAAATAATTTTTTATCATTATTTAAAAAAAAAAAAAAATGCTTATTTTACTACAATATTTTTAAGTAATTAATTCAGATCTTAATGAAATTTATAATAAATATTTATTCTACATAGAAGTAATGATGAATCTTATTTATAAATTTGTATGTGTTTTATAAACAGTGAAATATATGCATATAAAAAATGCAAATAACAACAGATTTAATCTATATACTTTTTAGTACATAGTTCAAATTTAATAAGATTAAGACTTTAAAATTTAAATTATCTTGAAAAAAAAATTATAAATGTAAATAATATTAATAAAATATCAAATTTATAGAAGAGTATTAATATTAATTTTAATTATATTTTATCTAAAAAAAAAAAAAAAATAAAAAAATAAAAAAAATAAAAAAAAATAAAAAAAAAAAAAAAAAAAAAAAAAAAAAAAAAAAAAAAAAAAAAAAAAAAAAAATACAAACATATATACACGTATTATGCTTACAAAGTTTAAATAATTTTCTTTTTCAAAAAAAAAAAAAAAAAAAAATTAATAATATATAATTTATATACTTAATAATTTTGCCTTTAACAATCATAAGACTTATAAAAATCTGTCACAAAAAGCATCAAACAATCCACATATTTATACATAAAAAAAATTATAATATATATATTTAAAATTTAAAATATTCATAAAAAAAAATTTACTTATAAAAAAATTACTTTCTTCTTATTTCATTCAATTCTTTAAAAAATTTAATTGTTTAGACAATATTTATTTTATTTTATTTTATTTTATTTTTTTTTTTTTTTTAGAGGTAAAAAAAAAAAAAAAAAAAAAAAACCATATGCATATTAAAAATATATAAAGCATTAAATTTAACAATATAAACTTATTTTAAATCTTTGTTTATTAAATAAATGATAAGACATAAATATACTAAACAATAGGTTAAATCAAATATATATATATATGTATATATATATGTATATATATATATATGTATATATATATATATGTGTATTTTTATTTTTCTAAAGTATATTTTATAAAATATATAAAGATAACATAAAAATGTAATTTATATTAGGTAAAAATTATGTTGTATATAATTCATTAGTGAATTTTTTGTTAAAATTTTTATTGTTTTTCTTAACGTAATTATCCGAATTATTTTTATTATTTGAAGGATAGGAAAATTTTAAATTGTTCTTTTTATTACTTAAATTGGAAATAAATTCTTGATTACAATTTTTTTCTGAATATAAGTTCGTAGGATTTTCATTGTAAGAGTTATAATTATTATCATTATAAGTATTATTTTGAGTAAAATTATAATTGTTTGTATTATTAATCGGGTTACTTTGATTATTTTTATTATAATTATTATAAATTTTATTATTCTTATAATCTATATATTTCATATTTTTACTATTTTTACTTTCTTCATTTGTTTTATGTGAATATTTTCTATTGTTATTATGAATATATTTACAATTATTTCCATTGTTTTTATTATTTATATTATTTCTACAACAATTATTTATATTATCACTTTTGCTGTTATTTTTAATATTTATGACACCATTATCTTTATCATTACTACGTTCCATATCTTCCTTTATTTTAATTTCATAATTACAGTCTTCATCATTTAAATTATTATTATATTTTTCATTTTTCTCATTTATATGATCTCCTGCTTTATCTTTTTTTTTAAGAATATTACTATCTTTAATGCTGTTATTATTATATGAAACATCATCTCTACTTCCATTAGGTTTATCACTAATATAATTATTGTTATTTTTATTATCATATTTATGATGTTTATAAGTATTATATTCACTATTATTTTTGTTATTGTAATAATAATTACTAATGTGTATGTTTTCATTTAAAGTTATTTGATCCATGTTTTTTGGAATATTTTCATCATATATTTGTTGTGTTTTATAAGTAACTTTTGAATTATTTAAATGTTCATCTAGAATATAATTTTTTTTGTGATATTTTTTATTATTTATAGAAGAATCACCATTTTTATTATTATCAATGTTTGATGAATTATTACTAATATTATTTTTATTTGTATTTGTATTATTTTCTAAATCATTTTCATTAAGAACACTATTCAAATTAATTGGGCTTTGCGTTCTTTTATTTGACTGTGTATTTTTTTTATACGTTTTAAGATTATTTGTATGGTTGTTAAAATTGTTTGAGTAGTTTTTTGAAGTATTCAAGATAGAATTTTTCTTTTTTTCATTTTTTAAATTATCTGTATTTTTAACAGATATATTCGTTAAATTATTGTTAGAAATATCTGTGTTAGATGAATAAGTGTTTGAAAAATTATCATTTGTAAAATAATGATGATTAATATCTGCACTAAGTAAAGGATGCTTTTTAGCTAACTTCCATGCTATTCTTTTTCCTGATGATAAATTACGTAATTCTTTAATATATGGTTTAATTCCTTCAACTAATTTTGTTAATTCTGGTTCTGATGCGACAGATAATGCCCTTTGAATCACATAGTTACCAAAAGGATCAAGAATGATATTTTTTAACACATCTTTTCCTTTTTTTAAAATTTCATTAATCATAATTTTTCTACATTTATTACTACCAATTATTAAACATTTCTCTACAACATTCGAAGAAAATTTCTGTACTGCTAATTTTTCAATATTAGGTAGTAATTTATTGGCTATCTCTAAATTAACTTTTTCAATTCCTAAATTTAAAATATACTGAACAACATAGTTCCCAAATGCATCTTGTACTAAATCAAGAGCATTATTAGATATATTTTTGATAAATAATTCCTGTAAAAAAACAAAAAAAAAAATAAAAAAAAAAAAATTATTTATGTAAAAAATTTTGTTTTCAAAACTTAATAGAAAGACATACTTTTTGTGCATCATTAGCTGAATCAATACATCTTTGAATAACACAACAACCATGTCTATGTGTAGAGACTTCAACACAGTTATTTAAAATTGCTTCATAAATAAAATCACACTGATGGCTTGATAAAGTAATAAGACATTTTTGTACAACATGATTACCATTAATATCTTTGATTAGTGTAATTATAGAATTTTTTAAAGCTTTTGTAGTTTTTTTAATCTGTGAAGGAGTTTTAATCTAAAAAAAAAAAAAAAATATATATATATATATATATATATATATATATATATATAAAATAAAAATTAATAAATTAATAAATTAATAAATTATATATTTATGAAACTAAAATATTTATATAAAGAGTTGATATATGTGAAGTATAAATTAGTAATTAATAAAATCAATAACTTATTATAAATAGGTAAAAAAATAATATTTTTATTTGTTGACAAAAAAAAAAAAAAAAAAAANATATATATATATATATATATATATATATATATATATATATATATATATATATATATATATATATATATATATATATATATCTTATTACCATTTCTATTAATTTTTGAACTGTTCTTGTACCATGAACACTTATAGAAGCATTAATTAATTCATCAGAAGATTTATCGATAATTTTTTCTATCTGTTCTGGAGTACATACTTCCATTAATTTCTGACATAAATAATTTCCAAAAGGATCAACCATTAATTCAATTATGTGATCTAATGCTTCATTATATATTTCTTCTATATGCTGAGGATTTTTTTTCTCTAATATCCTTTGTAGTATTCTACAACCAGTTTGATCCTTCAAAAAAAAAAAAAAAAAAAAAAAAAAAAATATTAATTTCTTTATATTCAAAAAAAATAAAAAAAAAAAAAAAATGTTTATAAATAAACCTTAGCAATTTTATAAATATTCCCAGAAAATGCTATTGGTGAAAGACAATTATCTTTATTATAATTTATTTTTTTAGTTGATAATACTCTTTTATTCACATTTTGATTATTAGTTACATTTTTTAAATCTTTATTATTTACATCTACGTTTGCTAAAAAAAAAAAAAAAAAAAAAAAAAAA